ACAAACCTGATGACATAGTCGCTATCGAGTCTACACAGCAGAGTAGTTAGTCGATAGACGGTTGATACCTGACGACGAGCAGGAACGTACTGGGACATGAGGACGATTTCCTCAATGAACTTTTGGACGGAGCGCGGGTCCCTCTGTTTGAGTCGCTTGATCGCGACTTGCTGGCCACCGTAGACGCCGAGCCAGACTTCGCCGTATGCGCCGGAGGCCAGCGGCTTCTTGCTCGTCACGCGGAGGTCCTCGAGCACGAGGCGGTGGTACAAGAGCGGCTGGACATTGAGGTTGATGAACGACGACGGGTAAATGTGGCGCCGGCCACCATCAAAAGGACGAACGACGGGGCCCTGATCTTGTGGCCCAGTCGTCGGGTTGGACGGACCCGTCGTGTCGTTGCTGATGAGCGTGTAGGGCTTGGGCTCACTGCGGTTGGTCGTGCTCTCGAGGCTGTGGTATATCGGACTTGCGGGCCTTGGCTTCGAGCGCCGTCGCCAGGCAATGCCTCCTGCGACGCAGCACAGGACAAGGACGATAATGCCACATACGACGCCAATGATCATCGGCGTGGCTATAGATCGACAGGAGGGTTAGGGTAGATGTGCTCGCGATCGTCGCACCACTGGTTGTCGGAGACGTATTGCCACCGCCCTGCGCACTGCCACCGCTCGTGTATGGAGCGGCAGTTGGTGAGATGACCGATGCGGCGCACTCGGCCGTGACCGTGAGCTGCTTGTCAAATTTCGGGCACGGATTCCCAAAGAGGCTAAGTACATGATGCATAATGACAGTGGAATGCGCAAGGGCACCTGCTGGTCGCGCTGACAGTGCATCCTGCCTTGCTGAGACACGCTGTCGACACTACGTCCGTCGAGTTGGCCGCATCGCACTTGCCCTTGGCGGCGTAGAGACCGACGTTGGTGGGCGTGCCGTACGAGGCAAAGAGGATTCTCGCGATGACGAGCGGCGCGTCGCAAGCAAGCGAGATCGCGCGGTTCTCCGAGGCGTTTTGCGCGAGGACCACCGCGCCAGCGTCCGGTTCGATCGTCTGCGTCGCGAGTCCGCACTCGGCCGTGACAGTTAACCTCTTGCCGACACCAAAGCACGGGTCGCCAAAGTCGCTAGGACGCAACGTGAGCATCATGAAAGCAAGCGAACGAGCTACTCGTTGTGGGCGCGGAGGTTGCACGCTGGCTGCTGCAGACAGTAGGTTTCAACGACAGCGATCGACGTGTCCGAGTGGCACGACGGCGCAATCAACGCCGAGAGACCCATGCCTGTGGGCGTGCCGTAGGACGCAAAGAGGATCTTGGTCATTGCGGCCTTGGGGCCGGCGCACGCCAGCGTGAGCGAGCTGTTCTCGCCCGTCGTCGCCGTGACGAGCGTCGTGCCTGGATCCTGCATGAGCACCGCCACGGCTCCTGGCAGCAGCAGCAGCAGGATCGAACGCATGGCGTAAAATATGGAATCCATACCGAGATGCACGGGATTGCGATTGCTACTGCGTATCCGGATCGTCCGGTTACCCAAATCTGACGTGGCACGCGGAGAGACAAGCGACTCGTAACGAGAAGGCCAAGCTGCCGCCTAGCTGCCCTTTTCGCTCAAGGTGACAGAGGACGGTAGACAGAAAAGACATCGCAACTAGGTTTCTCGCCGTACTATAGAGCAATGACACGTCTCTTTCGGTCCTGATGAGAGCCCTTGTCTTGCCCACTCGTACAGCTGCTTACTACGGTACCTGTATTGGGTGCATCGCTATCACACTATCAGAGCTGACCACCAACCCTGGCGTCGAGTGGCTTGCTACTCCACGCACCCAAGACGACAATCATAAAAGTTGGTTGAGGCTTCGGTGCTGTGGTGAAGATCTCGGTGGTTGCCGCTGCGAGGCGACTCGCTTGCAGCATTCGCTGGTGGTGAAAAGGTCGCCAGGAGAGGAGGGGAACTTCTTCATCCACTGACGCCTCTAGCGCCGCGGTGTGGACGTTGCCGAGAAGATAGCAGTCGGCGAGCGATGATGCGCTGCATAGCATGCAAAATGCAAGCTCTGAGCTCCAAGTTGCCTGCAGTCCGCTACATTCACTACTTAGGCTGTACGTTCTTGCCGAGACGACGCGCCGATCCCTTTTGGTTGCATGCTCTGACGGTGTTGTCCGAGCATCGACGAGAGCGCCAACGCCGTCGGTCGGTCGACGTCGTTGAGCTGCAGACACTGCTTGGCCACTTCCGGCACCCACGTCGGCACGCCGACGCCGT